CGAGAGGAAATGTCTTAAGGTCCTTGGCCTCTTAAATGGTCATAACTTTTGGATCCTAACTTTTTGGAAGAGATCTTAAGATTTTAGTTACTAGTTCAAAGTTAGAAAAACTTTTACCAAGAGTTTTGAGTCCATTGATGATATCCGTGAAACGGGTGTACATGTCTCCGATCGACTCACTTGGTTTCATCCGAAAAAGTTCGTAAGAGTGTACAAGAATGTTGATTTTGGACTCTTTCACTCGGCTAGTGCCTTCATGAGTGACCTCAAGAGTTCTCCAAATATCAAAAGCCGAATCACAAATCGAAACGCGATTAAATTTATTTTTGTCAAGTGCACAATATAAGACATTCATAGCCTTTGCGTTTAAAGCAAAAACTTTCTTCTCCGATTCATCCCATTCACTCATCGGAAGAGAAGATTTTTGAAATCCATTTTCGACAATATTCCAAAGCTCGAGATTCAACGAAAGTAAGAAAACTCTCATTCGAGTTTTCCAATAAGTGTAGTCTGTCCCATTGAAAAAGGGAGGACGAATGAGAGAGTGACCCTCTTGAAAGCCGTAAAGAGTTATTTCTATTTAGGTGTTAAACCAAAGTAGAAAACCCTGGCTCTGATACCAATTATTAGGATCGAAGCGGCACTAAGAGGGGGGGGGGCGTGAATTAGTGCAGTGGATTAAAACTTGTAAGCTTAAAAATGAATTCATAAATATGAGTAGATTTCGTTTCGATAGTAACTTGAGTAGATGAAAATCGAAAACTAGCAGTAGTGTAAATAACAATTTCAAAAAAGTAAGAACTCACACATTCAAGGAACACACCAATTTAAAGTGGTTCGGTCAAAATGACCTACATCCACTTGCGTAGCCTTCTTCGAAGAGGCTCCCAACTTCCACTAGCAAATCACTTTGAAAGGGAAGGATAAATACCCCTCTTACAACCTTTTACAAGTGGTTCACACTCTTATAAATTTTCAAAGAGAAAGAAGGAGGTGAACACTCAAGCTATTGAAAATAAGACTTGCTAAAGACTTTGCTAAGGCTTTATCTCAATTTCTTACTCATCAAAAGGTTATTTTCTCTACTGAGAATTGAGGGGTATTTATAGGCCCCAAAAGGATTCAAATTTGGGTTCCAAATTTTGAATTCTCTTGGATTCCTGATGCTAGCAGTGCCACCGCTTGTTAGTGGCGGTGCCACCGCCTACCAGTGTCTGACACTGATAGTGTACTGGCGGTGCCACCGCCCAGCCCGGTGCTGCCACTGCCCGACCTCTCAGGTGCTGGGCAGTGCTATCGCCCAGTCCAGCAGTACCATCACCCAATCCTCGGGTTCTGGGCGGTGCCACTGCCCAGTCAGGTGGTTCCACCGCCTACACTATTTCAGCTCATTGGTTGGGCTCCAAACTTGGCCTAAACCAATCTGAACTTGGGCCCAATTGGCCCTAACCGGGTTATAGGATTAACCATTAATCCTAACCCTAATTACATGCAAACTATGAGCTTAAGAGATAGTCCTAAGCAAGTTTTTAATCGGCAACGTCAAGTTTCCTTCCAGTGAGCTTTTTGGCGGACTTCCAATACACTCTCGGATTTCTTCCGGAGGACTCCCAATAGGCTCCCGGTCTTGTGGCGAGTTCAGCGAGTCTTTGGCAAGTAGCCGAACCTTCTCGGTGATCTCCGCGAATGTCCGAAGATCTCTCCAGCAGACTTTCAAAAACTTTGACAAGTCCCCGATTCCTTCTCGGTTGGTTCCGACAACACTTCCGACGATTCTTCGGACTCTCGACAGATTCTCGAACACCCATCGAACTTGACTCCGGTAGACTTGCTTTATGTCTTCAAGCTTTCGTAGTTAATCCTGCATACTTAAAATAAAACTTTGATCGAGACAATTAATACAAAGCAATAATTAAGTTGTCCGGCATGTCATTGGTCCTACGACGCTTCGTCCGATTCTTCGGCATATCGTCATCTCTTGCGGCATATTGCCTAATCGGCCTGTTGACTCCGCAACTCCGATATCCTTGGCGGAATACCCGCTCTTCTTGTCCCGATGCCTGAATCCACGACCCGAAGTCTTCTGTCGATACGTCGACCGATCCACCGGCCCGACGTCCAATCTTTTGACATGTTCCTCCAGCACAACATGATTTTCCTACTTTAATTGTCTCATCCTGATCGAAGCATCCTATGTCACTCAAAACGCAGATTAAATCATAAACACATATCAAGTGGTTTCATCATCAAAATATGAGATTCAACAGAAATATGATTGGTATACAAATTGAAATGTGGCATGAATTTTTACCACACTTATATTGTTGAATCATTCTCCTTTTTGTTGATGACAAAGGGGGAGAAATAATACCAAAATATGGTAAATTGATGACAAATGTATGTAATGTATTTCATCATAGATACTTAAAATATTTGCTTGATAAATTTCTTTCACCTTAACTTGCTATTTTTACAAATTGATATCTTGCCTTAGAATGATGAATTGAAATCTTTGTCATCTTTTATATTTAAAATATCATACTTGAAAATGGATGTCATGTCTTGACATTATTTTCAGAATGTTATATCGTGATAGGAATTATGATGTGTGTATTGATAAGTTTAAATGAACTTAACTTATTAGTATGTCTTTTGAATTCAAAGGCCTTGAATTCAAGAATGTCTTTTCTCAAGTATGGCATATAGATAGGAGGAGTTAAGGTTAACTCCGTCATCAATTGATTGTCATCATAAAAAAGGGGGAGATTGTTGAATCTTAGATTTTGTTGATGAAGTCAATTATAATTTGTTTGATCTAATATATATGTTGAGAAAAGTACGTAGGATTAACTACGATGGCAATAAGACATAAAGCAGGTGTTGTGCCAGAGTCAAGATCGAGATCTTATTGAGAGTTCAAGAGTTCGACAGAAGTCCGGACGCTCGTCGGAAGTTTTGTGGGAACCAATCGAGAAGTCCAAGAGCTTGCCATAGAAGCTCGTCGGAACTCGCCAAGAAGATCGTCGCAAAGTCCAAGAGCTTGCTGGGAGTCCGTCGGAGCATTGCCGAGAGTTCGTCGGATGTTCGCCGAAAGTACGCCGGAAGCTCGTTGGAAGAGCAATTGACGCACCAGAACAAGAAGTGTAGTAAACATGTCTTAATTGGGTTGAATTGAGCACCCAATTCAGCCCCTGAATTCTTGGCCGACGGTGGCACCGCCTGAAAAGCAGTGCCCCAGGAAATCTGGGCGGTGGTACCACCGGCAGTTATTGCGGCCAACGGTGGTACTACCCCTGTCAAGCAGTAGTACCGCTAGAGCTTGGTCTCCGAGCTTTGTTGAGCGGTGGTACCACCCAGACTGAGCAGTAGTACTGCCTAGTGTCAGGTGTCAAGCAATGGTACCACCTAGTAATGTCGGTGGTACCGTCAGGACCTCGGAAATATGGGATTAGACACTTTTTAGCTCCATTTTTTAAGCCATTAGGGCCTATAAAAATTCCACCCTTTTTTGCATGAAAGGGCACGAAACCTATTGGCATAATATTAAGTTCTTGAGTCTTAAAGTGTTGTAAATGTTAGAGTTCTCCTCCTTTATCTCTTAGCCTTGTAACTATTCAAGAAAGAGGAGTGAGACTTGTAAGGGTTCATCACCTAAACCTGGGAAAAGGAGAAAGTGTCGTAAAGAGGTGTTTGGTCTTCACCTATTGAAGGAAGGCCTTTAGTGGACGCTGGTGACCTCGTCGGAGGAGGAATCCGAAAGTAGATGTAGGTCACATTGATTGAACCACTCTAAAACTCGGTTTGCATTTACTTTGAGCAATTTACTTTTACAGCAAACTGCCTCTCCTCCTTACTGTGCTTTTACTACGCCTACATACGTTTTAATTTTACGAAAGCTTTCAAGTTCAAATTTTCCCCGAAACATATTAAATCGAAATCATTTTCATCGGAATCAGTTTTAATCAAAACAAGTCTTTTGAAATCATGAAAGTTTTTCACTGCACTAATTCACCCCCCTCGTAGTGCCGTTGTTGATCCTAATATGTTCCTATTGATACTTTAAAATTCATAATATTCACTTGATGGAATTACTATTTGATGTCAAAGATAGAGGTAAAAGGGTTAGAGAAATCTTTATGGAATTACTATTTCATGTCACGATGCTATCTCATTTATCAATTCAGATTAAACTTGATTTTGATATCATAAATATTGGGATAGAGGAATGAAATATTAAAACAAAATACTATGAATACAATGAGAAGAAAATACCTCCACAAAAAAAAAAAAAACTAAGCAAGAGGGAAACACTTACGGCATATCCTCATATACTACATGTTTCATCAAACAATGTTTCATAACCAATGTCCTATATGTAGAACCTAATGAAAAATATTTATAGAATTTAATAAAAAAATATCTCACCCATGAAGTCATCCACGACTCATTTAGGTATAGAAACGACCTTTAATTACCACAACTACATGGATCACGAGACACTTTGCACATGAGACAACTCGTGTCAAGACGAATTATCCGAGGTATGAATCAATTCTCATCAAACTTCACCTCGATAGGCTTCCCGGGCCTCCCCACCTCGACTCATGCCGCCGCTGGCGTTACCTGCTAGAACTTCGTAGAAGGGTGGTGGTGGTGGAAGTTGGTGGGCTGCAGGCGCGGCTTGGAGGAGGGTGGGGAAGTAGGGGATCGGATGGCGCGCGACGGGGAGGTGGGCATCGATGTTGGAACGGAAGCGAGAGATGGGCTGCTGTGATGCTTCGCTGCTGTAGTTGGCTTCTGCCATGTCTGTGTGCGAGGACCTTCGAGAGAGAAAAAAAGGAGGTCGTGGAACGAACGGCCAGGATGATGAGACGTAGAATGGAATGGATAGGAATTAAACTCGAGTTTGAAATAGGTACAAACACAACGTTGATACGACGTAACGACGACATGTACAGCCGATATATATTTCGTGGTCACCGCTACAAGTGCTGTAATGGACCTTTAGGTTACGGAAAGCCATTATAACGGATATCACCTTTGGGGGTTCTCTCACAAGCATGGAACCGCCGGTTTCGGCTTTGGAGTTGTAGCAGTGGAAGAGGCGAAGGAGAGAGAGGAGAAGCGCGAAGGAGAGAGAGGAGAAGCGAACGCAGGAAGCAGCGAAAAATGGACAGCCGAAAGGTTGTCGTCTGCGACAACGGCACTGGGGTAATCGCACTTTCAATTGCTTACAAAGTGATCGTTCGGTCTCTCTGTGTGTTTCATCTGTTGTCTCGTTTTGATCTGTGATGCAATCTGGGGTTGGGCTGATCTTGGCCATATCAAGATCACGATCAACTGTTCCTTGTTTAAATCTATATTGACTCGGCTTTTCAAATCGAGCATTTTATTTCTCATCTTGTGAGACTTCAATCGCGATTCCATCACGATTGCAAGAATTGCCCGTAAACGGTTCAAAAAACGCAAGAAAGGTCCCATATTTTATTAATTATTCGTCTCTCCTTTCTTAAGATTTAGTGTTTGCATTAATGTAGCCGCTGGGTCGAAGGTTTTAATTGCACTTTTTTTTTATGGATCCCAGTAAAAATGCCATCTTGATCCATGAAAATTTATGCAGAAGAAACCCAAAACAAAATTATAGTTCCGATCTGCAATATTTTGCCTCCGAAGATTCAATCTGTCATGAGAATGAAAGCAATTGAGTATTCTGCTATATGGACTTCTGAATTAAAAGAAAGGTAGATATATTCTTCGTTGGGTTAGTCAAACTTAGCATGAAATGTTGATGTCGGTGATGTCTTCTTATTTTTATTTTTATTTTTTCCACTCTCTCTCAGTTTCCTTTTTCCGCTGTGTATGTGTGTTTGGGGGATTGCATTCTAAGCTTTGTTAACCAGTTCACTGGTCCAATTCATTCTTGATTTTGTTTTAACTTTGGAGCTTAATGTCACCCTAATCAATCTAAAAGGTCGTCCTAGGTAGTCTAGCTTTTGAAGGTATCCTCAATTGCTTGAGCATGAATTGCTTACACGATCTAACTGTTCACATGGGGGTTATTGTCATATTCGTTGATTCTACTTAATAAATATTTTACTTGTACTTATTTTGGAAATTTTGCAGTTCTGCAACTTTTATATTTATCTATTATGTGCTTGAGTGATACTTTTAACTTTCAAAAAATAGACACAGTTACAACTAACCTCAATTGTTTTGGTTGATTCTACTTAATAAATAGTTTACTTTAATACCTTGTACCAAGTACTTATCGTTTAAATTTTGCAGTTCTGCAACTTTTATACTTTTCTACCAAGTACTTGATAATTTTAATTTTCAAGCAATAGACACAGTTACAACTAACCTCAATTTTTTTTATTTTATTTTAGGCTCAAGATTGACTGATCTTGAACTTCTTGAATCTAAATGCAGTATGTGAAGTGTGGATTTGCTGAAGATAACTTCCCGACATCTGTGTTCCCTTGTGTGGTTGGAAGGCCAATGCTTCGATATGAAGAATCACTGGTGGAGCAGGAACTGACGGTCTGGACTCGGACTATATCTTGTTGATGATTGTAGTATAGGATTATATGTCAATCAGTCATGTTCCATGTGGATAGAGAAGGAAGATATCTAAGTACTTCACACACACTATACCTGAGTCTTCTAGGGAACTCAAACTGTTTGTACTGGAGCCATGTTATCTCATGCCACATAGCATGAAACTGTTTATCCACTCCTTTGATCTTAAAGCTTATTCATTAATTTTTTTATTTTTTTGATATAGAGCAAATATAGACTATTTAAGCTATTGGTGCTCTTCCCCTCTTCCATTCAGGATATTGTTGTGGGAGCAGCTTGTGCAGAATTTCGTCACCAACTAGATATATCTTATCCTGTCAATAATGGGATTGTGCAGAATTGGGATGATATGGGTCATGTATGGGATCATGCATTTTACAGTGAACTGAAGGTACATTTCTTAATTTTGTGAGTCCAGTCCCAGTGTAATTATGGCCAGGCTATCATCTCTTTCCTAAGAAAGCTTTTCATAAATGTTCATGTGAGCATTAAATTATTACAAATTATATGTCCTCGCTAAAGTTGCTCTTTCGGAAAGTTAAAATGGTACTAGGATTCTTCCTTTTCCTTTTTTACTTCAGATAGATCCAAGTGAATGCAAAATTTTACTCACAGATCCTCCACTCAATCCTTCAAAGAACCGTGAGAAAATGGTACGCATTGTTCCTTTTCATTACTATATTCAAGTTTTTATCCATTTTGAGTAGTGTAAAATATCTCAAGTGTTATTTTAATGTTATTTATAAACAAGTGACTATTAGTTTGGCTTCATGTAGGACAGATAGAGACCATGTTTGAGAAATACAACTTCAGTGGTGTCTTTATTCAGATCCAAGCAGTTCTCACATTATATGCTCAAGGTGCATATGCAATCTTGTGATGATTGCCATAGATCATTAATTTGAATTGCAGTTTTACGTTTTAAGATTATTACCACAAATTTTGGAATACAGTACATGGTCTTTCTTGGTGAAAACTATCCAAAATATAGACCTTTTTCTATTTTTATTTACCCACATTCACCACTTTTCTCTTGATTGTCTGTATTGCTTGACAGGTCTGCTGACTGGCCTTGTCATCGACTCTGGTGATGGTGTCACCCATGTGGTATGATTTAATTTAGTTTCTTCTGTATTATTTTCCTGTGAATAATTAACTAGTTGTGCTGTAAAATGAGCCCTTAACTCCACTTGTTGTCAGTTTCCATATCCCAACTGATATATTAGTAAAGATAGAATGAGATATGGCCCTAGAACCTGCATTGCCGAGGCCTCATGTGTTGTCTTTGCCTTTTTGCACTAATGTTGTGTATGTGAGCTAAATTAAGATTAAAAAAAAAAAAGAAGATAGTCTTGACTGTTACTTCTTGATCTTTAGTCAATGACATGAAACATTCTGTAGTACTGGATAGAATTGAGGAAATATAAAGAATCATCATTTTGTGTCTCTTGTTTAAAGTACATATGGTAATTTCACAAAATTTAGTTATCTATTGTGTTCAGGTGCCAGTTGTTGATGGTTATTCTTTTCCACATCTAACCAAAAGAATGAATGTAGCTGGAAGGCATATAACATCATATCTTGTTGATCTGCTCTCTCGTAGAGGGTAAGATTTACCACCATGTCCATTATTGTCACTGATTCAACATATAATATATTGTGTCATTGACCATCTCGTCCTATTTAAATCCCACTGTTTATCATTTTCCAAAGGTATGCCATGAATAGATCTGCAGATTTTGAAACTGTAAGGGAAATAAAGGAGAAACTATGTTACATCAGGTAAATATGATCCCAAAATCTAGTTAATTGATTTTTCTAATTACATATAGATGATCTTGAAATATTTTAGCTCATGTTCTTTAATATCTTTTGCAGCTATGACTACAAGCGTGAATATCAATTAGGACTAGAAACCACTATTCTTGTTAAGAACTACACCGTAAGTGAATTACCTTGTTATCACAAGCATGTCACCAACTGGTTAATTTTCCCCTCAGCTCATCTTCATATTTATCAGCAAGAGCTTTTCATATCTGTCTCCACAGTATTTTTCTTGAAAGTTCTTTTGCCTTTCTTTTGTTCGTCAAATCTAAGTTTTACTTTTTGATAAAAATGAATGAATGATAGAAGAAAAAAAGACAGCTTAGTGCATGAGGCTCCTGCCAAAGTGGGGTTTATGGAGGGTTGATGCATGCAGCCTTATCCTTTCTAGTAGAGAGATTATTTTCATGACTATAATCTTGGTCACCAAGATTGCAAAAGAGTAGCCTTTTAATGGCACACTGTCTTGCTCTCTGGGAAGTGAAAATTGTATTGGCTTGGATTTGAGGATAAGCATAAATTTGTTGATGTGCACCATGTTTATTGATGTTACTTTTCCATTCAGAAAATGCGTCCTATTTATCTTTATCGATTTATAAGGCCTTTAGTTGTATAAGTTAATTCACTGTTTTATTTTATTTTATCTTTGTTTATAATTCTACTTGACTGAACCATGATGTAACATAGATTAAATAGTTTATGAAGTAGTCATATATTTTTGAAAATTATATACTATGGTCTTATCTGATGTTTGGCTACAACTCTACTCATCTAATCATCTCCACTAAGTTACCACGACCAGAAGATTGCATGTAATTATCTCCATGTCATAAGTTACTTGCTGAGTTATTAGAATATACTCGAGATTCCTTTTCCATCTTCTGTCAATGGGCTTTCAATTTGTCAGTCTCTCTGTTACAGAAACTTATTAAAATTCAGCAGAATGGAGACCCGGAGAAACTTAAATGGTCAAAATTTGGAAAAGAATAACTTATAGAAATTGAGCTTTTGGCTAAAAACAATCATTGAGCAGGGGAGCAACCTAGTTGGTGTAATACTAGTGTCATAGTATATATACTTAAGACCATGGTATGCAATTTCGAATGGTACCGCCCGGTATAGGCGGTACATACCGGTCTGACAGTATACCGGTACATGGACCGCTAACGTGCTATAGTGCTACAGTGTTATACTGTAGTAGTGCTACAGTGCTACAGTAGAGAAAAAGAAATATTTAAAATTAGGTGTACCGCTCGGTATGCCCTGGTGTACCACTCGGTACATGGTACCGTACCATACCGAGTCAATCTCAAAACACCGGTACGGTACGGTATTGCACACCTTGCTTAAGACGATGATTAATGGAAAAAAAAGGTCCTTGATCCATCAGAAATATACTGATATGGAAATTATATTATGATTTATATGTCCATAGGACATTGTAGGAAACAATTTACACCATCCATTTAGCATTACATAGTAATCCAAGCAATAATGAAAAGAAACTATTTATTTGACCAAAATTGCAGTTGGTATGAAGAACATGGTGACATAATTGGTTTTCTGTGTATTCTCATCATAACTGACCTTTGTATCATTACTAAGTGAAACAAATCCTTCCATCCATCTTCATGTATATTATTTTGTTAAACTTTGTGCTGCTTATGAAGAATCAAAACTATATTTATCTAAGATATGAGGGTTTTTCTAGATGAGGTGAAATTTTTAATGTGACAAACAACAAAGGCTTTATAATACTCATCCATGTTTGTGTTGTCAATATGTGATGCTTTTCTTTCTTGTAAGATGCATATATTATATGACAGTTTGCTACTTGTCCCCATTGCTAACAAACTGTGTTGCTGCTCTTATTTGATTAGCTCCCAGATGGAAGAGTTATTAAAGTTGGCACTGAACGGTTTCAGGCTCCTGAGGCCCTTTTCACTCCAGTATGTGCATGCATTTGTATATTCATTAATAACATTTTGCTGTGATCAACACAATTTTATCATGTTCCAAGAGTTATATGTTTCACTGTTTTGTATAATCTTTTTCATTTTCAGTTTCAATTGAAGCCATTCTTAGTTCCAATGCAAGTTTATGTATTGTATTAACTTATATATTGTAATGTTTATGTAAAAAATGGAACCATAAACTGTGTGCTTTTTTTTTTCTTTTTTCTTTCGTTGTTTGAAGGGAGAGAAGAAAGGGGTGACGGCTAGGGGGTGAGGAGTTGTTTAGAATAAGCATTTACATATAACATAATAGATAATAGATCTAAATCAAAGTCATTGAAGTGCATAACAAGGTAAAAAATATATTATGTTAATCTTCATGGAGAAAAGAGCACTAATTATTGGGAAGGTTCTCTTTTTTAAGCAATATATTGTTTTATGATACCATAAACTAATTTTTTTGCTTCTTTTTAAAAAATTAATCATTCATTAGATGTATAGTGCATAAATGCTCGAGCTACTCCTACTTTTAGTTTTCATTTGAAATTTATATGAAAATTATATTAGATATCAAGTATATGAATGCTTGAAAAAACTGGCAAGGTATAGTATGTCTATCATATATTCAACTGTCTCTCATGTCTCAATTTCTGAGAAAAAGAATGTTATGACATCCATTCTTAGCTTTACAGCTTTAGTCATCCAGTGTCCTTCCTTTTACATGCTATCTGTTACATATCAATTTTCTATGACTTCCAAGTGCTAATACATATAGCCTTTGATGTAGGAACTTATTGATGTCGAAGGTGATGGAATGGCAGACATGGCTTTCCGTTGCATTCAGGAAATGGATATTGATAATAGGATGATGGTATGCATATTGCTTCCTTTAGAATCTGTTAGATGGGTTAACAAATGACAGAATCATATTTATATAACTATCACTGCCTTGAAAAAATCTTTCTTGAACTGATGGACATATTAAATTTCTGATATTATCTTATTTTGCCCAAATCTTGATGGTCTGATTGCTGAATTCACTATTTATTGTTCTGGTACTTTTGAGTCAGTTTTTTGCTTTATGTGCTATTGCACATTATCTTTTGGTTAAGCTGAAGACTTTATGGGTTCATTTGTTTATCTAAAAAGATAGCTCCATTTTCCATTTGTTCTGCTTAAAATGCTTAATTAAATTGATCATCAAGAGATATGCCATGACCTTTAGGTCTTTAGCCTGGATTGCTTTCTTGTGGCACATTGTTACGCCAGTTAGTGACAAGTTCAGTACATGTGGAAATTTCTTTCTCTGCACCCATTCCAGTTTAAGAGAATGCCTAAGCTAAACAAATTAGGGAAACTTATGAATAACAAGAGAAAGAGATATATAGACTGTATAGATCAAAAATAGAGGAGGCAGGGGGTTCTTCTCTGGCTATGAGGATGCATATGAAATATAAATTAAAAAAGGAATAATTTTGGCCTTTTAATTTCAACAGAGGAGATTGTCACTGACACCATACTAGAGCAAGCATATGCTGGTAGGGTTTACCTGGCCATCTCAGGTAATTTTTAATCTTCATTCTCCTGGAAGATGGGAATGTTATGAGCAACTATGAAAACTACATCATCCAAATATGTTTCCGCTTTTTCATTTTTATTTTGAGAAATTATCTCTTAATTAGATAGGCATAGGCATCATATCAGATAATAAACTCAGTAGCCTCTAATAAACTGAATATTCTTATGGAAGTTGTTGATCAAATAATATGCTAATTAGTATCATGTTGAAGAAAAAGAACTGTAACCTCTATTTGTCCTTTATGTCCAAAATTATGCTTCTATTTCTAAAGTTTATTCTTATCTTTCTTGGAAGGCTCCACAATCTTATCGCGTTGTTCCTTTTGTATATGCCAGTAATATGATGGATGTTCTCATAAGCATAATTTTAACTAGTACTTATGAATTTGTTAATCATGCATCAACATCTTCCTGGAATTTAACTTGTATCACATAAGTATTCCATTGTCAGCTTATTGACAGATTACTTTTGCTATCCTTAAGAAATAAGAATTAAATTTTTGTTGCTCATTATCTGGTGCTTCTCTCACTCGGTTTGATTTAACATTGGCAGCTCTACCAACATATTGTTCTTAGTGGAGGGAGCACCATGTATCCTGGATTACCTAGTCGGTTAGTCCAAAACTCTATATTGATTTTTATGGTGTTATAATTTATATGTCCTAATTTGACCAGAAGCATATGTTATTGCTGGGTAGGCAGATTGCATCAATATGTCTGCCTTTGCAGCACTTTCCTGGTTTTGTTAGGTACTCATACATTTACTCCTAGCTTACACCAGTAAGATTTATGCTTAACCAAAAATTGTGAAAAAGAAATTAATACAAAATCTCTTGGATAAGCTTAAAACAGTGGTGGGGATTACTGACTAGAAATTTGAGGTTGAGAGTGATAATGGCATCTTAGCAAATGAAAAAAAGTTCGTTTATCATTTCATTGAACATTAATACAGAGACTAAATGAAATCATTCCAACTATAAATGCTTTATCCTATTGCGTAGAAATTACACATCACGAGTATCTTTATTTTACCCTGTTTCCATATTCTCCCTTTGATTTCATGGCTCTCTTGTTTTCAACAATGCTTTTATTCTTAATGTAAGCATAACCATAGAAGAATGGAAAATATTTTATCATTGTGCTGAGGTGGGAAAACTGATTATATTCTTCACTAGAAGGTGTCATCTTACCGATCAAATGTAATCATCTCAGAAAGAAATGTTTTAGCAGCTTCCCGCCGCATGTAGCCATATGACCACTACAATATGAAGATATCTATAGTTCAATGATCATCCTAATGTTACACAAATCCTTTGGTTATACAAATCATTTGCTAAGAAATAGTCTCATTTTTATCCTTAGTCATTTGTGTTTCATGTGTATGTAACTTTGTGTCATATTGTGATGTCGGCTTGATAGTTCATCTGTAATTAAGAAGCAAGTTTAATGTTCTATTTTTTGAGAAGGTATCTTTATCTTATAGTGCATTGATTATTAAATGTTTTTAAATTGATACTCAAGATTATGCTTATGCCTTAATTGAATGCATATGCCTATGATGTCTTTTTTATTTGTGAACAGCTTGGAGAAGGAGATTCTTGAACGCTATCTTGATGTAGTGCTAAAGGGAAATAAGGATGGATTGAAGGTGATATCATTGTTCCAATTCTCACTAATATTCATTTCTTTCACAAGTGGCAAATTGTTGAGCTTCTATGGATGATGTTTAATTTGCATAATTTGTTTATTTTATTGTTTGAGTTAAGACTATGAAATGATGACATGTACCAATCAGGTGTGAATCAATACGCGAACCACCCCCATTTTTAATAGTCCGGTCTAAACCAATGATTGTTGTACTGCTTGAAATGATATGAAATGGTACGAAATGAGCAATACGTATCGGTTCGAGCGTGGGCCAATGCATGAACCACCTCGTTTTAGGCGGTCCAATCCATATACAAATAATAAAAAAATAAAAATGCAATGGCTCGTCTAACTCATAATTAAAAAAATAAAATAAAAATTAGGAAAATCAAATGCAAGCCCTCTTCTTGTGTTCAATGCTGCCACCGTCGTCGCTGCCATTGTTTCGTGATGATGTTGCCAATGCCGTACCGTCGCATTCCTTGTCCTTCCCAGGTACGTCCCACCTCATCTCCTCTTCTTCCTTCTTTCTTCTATACCACTTCTTCTTCCTCTTCTTCCACTATTCATCCACCTCCCCTTCCTATTATCTCTCCTTTTCTTTCTCTCTAACACTGGTACATATTGGCATACCAACACATGGTATATTGATACCGATCGGTATGCACTGGTCCAATAGATCATCAAAACAGGTTCGATTACCATAGAAGGTGATCCTTGGTGTGAACTATCAAAAAATTATTTAAAAACATACAAGCACCCTCTTTGCCCCAAATGCAAGCCCTTAACATTTCTCCTAGTGCAATCGCCCATCACTACAGTGTGGGTACACTTCCTCTTCTCCTCCTCTTCTTCCTTCCTCTTCCTCCTTCCTCCATTGCCTCCTCTTCTTCCTTTCTCTTCTTTCTCATGCTTCCTCCTCTTCCTTCATCGCCTCCACTTCTTCCTTCTTTCCTCTTTCTTCTTCTCCCTCCCTCCTCTTCCTCCACTGCACCTTCGAAATACTGGTACTTTTCAGTGTACCATATGTTAGTACATCAGTATTGAGTGGTATGTACCGGTCTAGCCTGGCACTAATACTGGCATGGTAAACATAAGATCAGCCCAATATTGTTCAGCCACTTGATTTTCAGTCCTGCACAGTTCTGGTTGCATATTCTTGAAGTGCCACCAGGAATCATTAGACAATCTATAATTGGCAGATAGCTGCTGTCTGATCATGTTTTGGAGGTGGGAACAAAGAAAGGCACAGAGTCCAGATTATCTTTGGTCAATGCTATAATTTAACTGACAATTGTTTGTAAAAATACCATTTAACTGGCAAGAGTTTTTGACACCCTTGCTTTGCTTACTGATGGAAATAAATAATCTTGTACAACATAATGATGATGGTTGCAATTAGAAAAACCATTTCTGGCATTTATTTTCTTAGTGTTTCGATAATTTTTCATACATTTTTCACAACTTGATAAATATTGTATTATGAAACCATTTCTGTAGTAACTATCTGAGTTTATGTATTATAGGTGCTTTTGGTTATGTATAATTGAGATTTTAAAATTTTCAAAGTTCAAAAAAGGTGGTACTACTAAAATAAATGTGGCCGAGTCATTTTTCACAATTTGTGTTTTCATGTTTCCTCATGACATTAAAGTTTGCATCTTAAGTTTCATAGTTCATTTTCCAAAATGAAGAATTGTTAATCAAGGATTTAGGATGGTGCTAGCATATGAATTATAAAATCTTTTTAACATTTGTGCAAGATCTTAACGCAACCAGCCTGCAAGGTCTTAAACCCTTTGTATTTACTGTTGGAGACAACATATTGTTCTTGACTTTGATGCTTCGAAACCAGCTGGTCCCATAACTGTTGGAGACTGCATCTAGCTCAAGTACTGATGTTTTACGATTGGCCTAACAGCTTTCTACTATTTGTTTTACAGTGGAAAATTTTGAGAAATAAGCTTCTTACAAAAAAAAAGATAAGCTTGGAAAATCTTCTGATGCATATTTTAATGCTTTTCTTCTGTGGTTGGACAGAAATTAAGGTTGAGAATTGAAGACCCGCCACGAAGGAAACACATGGTTTACCTTGGAGGTGCAGTCCTTGCTGGAATCATGAAGGTATCTTCTGTCTGTACATTACTTGAGTGTGATACAGGCAGAATATTGGAAGTATGTTGTGCATGCACTACATGATATATGATTGGAACTAATTCATAAATCTTGCAGAGTCTCTAGTATTATATACACAATTGGTTTTGTATGGGTAGTTTACGGAACATCTGATTAAGCCTACACAGCAATGTTTTAAAGTTAAAAAGTTCAACATAACTTCTGATCTCAACCTACTGCTAATAAGTTGGCTTGAACGAGCAGGACACACCAGAGTTCTGGATAACACGGCAAGAATACCAGGAAGAGGGAGTCGCATGCTTGAGAAAATGTGGTCAAGTGTGATTGTTGCATGGAAGCGGGCCAGTTCAACTCTGCTGGACCTCCTTGCCGATGATAACAGGGTTGATCCACCAGACATACTAGTTGATGAAAAAATATCTGCTTTCTGATCTTATAACCAAGTGCTGTGATCTTGAGCAAATATGATCTCTTGACAGAGCATCTCTGTTGCCTCTTAAGATATAATAACCTTTGTTAATAACTACTTCTATTGCATGATTACTATGTTCTACCAATACATTGACTGTGGTGTTCATCAAAATTGTGTTGCTGCACTTATCATAGACAATCAGTTTTCAGTCTTCTGTTGTGATATTTCTGTCGGTTCGCAGCAGTTTTATTGGCATAGAAATTTGCATACAAACTTGAGGACATTGCATATGAAAGCTTCATGTTATTTAGCTCAAGAACATGTTGGCAGGTCATAAACTTTGGTTGCTTGTTTTAATTACATCATGCTAAATGATATGAGGGTATTAATTTTTAATATCATATTTCGTCATCAGCATCATGAAGGCACCAAAGTTATTCAAGTTATTAATAAGCTGCATGATTTGATTTTTAAATATGCCAACTTCAATTTTGTAGCAAATCAATCTCACTCTACTCCATGAAGACACTTACGGGATGAGATACGAAAAAGAGGAAGAGAGTTTGTCATTCTAGTCTGCATGAGTTTCTTTTTTTCATTGTCGGATTTTAATTTTTACAGGAATTGTTTTTATGGAAACATCCTCACGGTCAACATATTATATTATACATTATATATACAATTAAATGATTGAAAAAATCAAAGTTCCGTTATGAACATTTTGTGCACATTATAATGTATTGTTTT